ATTTCTATCATTGTTTAAGTTATTCTATCATTTCATATTAATTTTGTTAAAAATGATTATATTACTATTATATTATTTTAAGTTTAATATTATTTTGATCGATATTTGAGTTTCACAAATGACAATATATTAAGGTCATATAATAAAAAAAAAAATATTAAAAACAATGGACTTGCGCTAAATTGACATTTATTAAGTGAAAATATCATACAAATTGTAAACTTTTTTGTTTTAAAAAAAAAAAACATTTTCACTTGTAAATGTCAATTTAGGTGTCTACGTATCACTTTTATGGAGATCAAAGTCCACGTAGTTCTTCTATTTACGTACCTTCACTTCAGACGAGTGGAAGTCTCTAATAGTCGTACTCGTCTTCGGCCGTCCCAGTACCGCTCGTCGAACTCGTGAAATCAGATGCGTCGTCATTGTCGTTGTCGTCACCTTCTGGCCCGTCGACGAGCATAGCCATTTGCGTCCTTCGTTCGGCCTTCTTCCAATCCATCAACAACATTTGTGCTTGTAGATTTTCAGGCGTCAACCTTGACCGTCGTGCGTCTAGCATGTAACCTCCCTCACTGAAAGCTTGTTCGACCGCAACTGTAGAGGCTAGAACAGCAAAAATCTCCTTGGCCATCAAACATGGAATAGGATAAACGTTTTCTATTTTTGACCACCAATCCAAGACATCGAAGTTCAGTGGCGCAACTGGTTCACGCGCAATCCTGAGTATCAAATTCGACGTAAGGTAGTGATCCAAGTCGTTGTATCCAGTCCCTTTTGTCCTTTGGGGGTCAATATTCTTGTACGGATTTTTTGATGCCCACCACTCCTTGTAGTTTGTTGCGCCTGCTCGATTCCCGTAAGAAGAAGCACTGCTGCCGTTGCCGCCACGAACAAATGAGCTGGATGCTCTCCTTGCGCGATTTCTGTTTCCCTGAACATTTCATACAACAAATCTTTTGCTTGCTCGACGAGCAGCCTAACGTTAGGTTTTTGACTGTATTCTTTCACCTCAGTCGGCAATGGGAGTTCAAACATATGATTATAATAAAGGTTAAGATTATCCATCAATTCAATTTCACGTACACTAGGATCTAACAAACATGCAACTAAAAATGTATAAGGAATATAAAAATAATATTTAACTATTTCTTTAACATTTCACTTACTAAATCTGTATATTTAAAATAATCAAGTTTGTAAAGACCAGATAAAGCTCACATGATAGTTATACATTGACTTAATACAAGCTGAGCAGTAGGATAATAAACACTGGAAAGCATGGAAGTAGCATTTTGAAATGTTTCTAAAAAAAACTAATAAGTACTTTGCAATTCTCTCAATCTGTTGTGGAGACTCGGATGTCACAGTCCCTACGGTTTGGATCGTTAAAAAACTTCTCCAACACCGACATAAAAGGAACTGTGTCATTCAATATTTTATATGTTGAATTCCATCGGGTCAGAACGTCGGGTTGAAATTTTTTAGGTTTCAACCCTTCATTCTTACAAAAATGCCCCCATGCTTTCATTTCTTGAGGACGTTTATGTAAATAATTAACAACATCTCTAATTGGCGTGACTGAATCTTTAAAAGCATTATAACCAGCTTGTACACATAAATTCAAGACATGACATATACAACGAACATGAAAAAATCTTCCTCCACAAATAGGTGAGCAAATATCTGTAAGTTCACGTATAGATGCAGTATTGGCAGTTGCATTATCAAAACAAATGGAAAACACTCTTTTACCAATTTTATATTTGTCCAAAATTTTAGAAATTAATCGAGCAATATTAGATGCAGTGTGACGTTCGTGAAATGCAACATAAGCGATTAAACGTTTTTGCAAACTCCAAGTTTCATCAATCCAATGACAAGTAATTCCCAAATAGGAGTTAGTTTGCCAATGATCAGACCATATATCAGCACAAATAGATACTCTATGATTTAAAGATTTGAAAGTTTCTTGCAAAATTAATTTTTTTTCACTAACAATTTTTTGAATATCGCGAGAAAGAGTAGTACGTGGAACCCGGGTGGCAGCCGGATTTAAAGCCATTTGAGCAAAATTTTCATACAAATCACTATCACCAAAACTAAATGGAAGAGATGAGGCAGAAACAAATTCAGCTAAATGACGTCTATGATTATCATGCGAGTAATGAAAAATAGATGGCGTACATGTACCAGTGTCGGATGCAGAACTGCTGCTGGGGAATTGCGTTTGTGCCATGTCGATTCCCAACGTATGCGGGTGACAACTCTTTAGGTGTCGAGTCAAGGATCCGTACCCATCGCCTTTTTTGAAATGATATTGCTTTTGTCGGTAGACGGACAATGGTTGCAGACAATTCGGACCTTTTTGCGGATTTGAGATCTTCTTGTAATGTCGTTGGAAGATGTCGGACCCCTTATTGCCACCCCTACCCGGACCACGACCATAGGCAGAGGATGGGTGGTGCATGTCCGCCTCATGCTGCGTCTCTTGCTGGATCTCGTCCGGGCTCGTTCCAAATTAATAGATCATCTAAATGGTCGTGATAAGGCTGTTGCTTGGGCTCTTGCTGTCCGGACTGAACTGAGTCAAACAAGACTTCTATTGTTGCTTCATCAATATCATTTGGGACAGAAGGAACATTAACATATATAGATGGACTGACAAATTTAGGAAATGGAGGTACTGAAGAAGACGTGCCGACATTTCTCCGTTTATTTCCGGAAGTCGAACCACGACCACCACCACGAGAACTTGACATTTTTTAGTATAAAATAAAAAATGTAGA